GAAGGCAGGTTCAAGTGGCTTGCAGAAAAATAATGGCAGACATAAGTCCCTACCAATGGTTAAAAGCAGTCGAGCAGTCCGCAGCAGGTTTGAAGAAGAAGGGGCCAAAATCTTGGAAAAGTTTGGTGTTCTCTGTCAAAATGGATTCAGCTTGCGTAGGATCTTTGAAGAAAATTCTGGAGCCAATCTCCTCATGGATTGTTGGGTGGAAATAAGGATAAGGGATACCTTGGGAAAGACCTAATTGCCTGGACCATTGATTGGGACAGTATGTCTCGAAACTGCAGTTGGACATCTTGGCGGAGGATATGGAACAGCCAACCAACACATGTCTAGAGGTGAGAATGTGTCTCCAAGTCTCATTTTGTTCTTGGACTTGCTCATTGTGTAAATCGAAAGGGTCTACGAAGAGGAAGCGAAGTCTGCTGGAGGAGAATTCAAAGTTTTGAAATGGCATGTACAGGTTGGAAGGTCTCTTCGATGGAAGGTTGTAAAACATGGTAAGCTGATTTCTGAAAGTGAGGATGGATTGGTTGTTATAAGTGAGCAGTTGCTCAGCATAGGAGTAGAAAACAAGTTTCAAGGTGTTAGCTGGTGGGGGTCGTGCCTCAGGGAAATAGGCATATAACCAGGCCTGGAAGAGCCAGAATGGGCCACCACAGTTGCCAGAAATCTTCTTGTGGACAAAGGAAAATAGGGCCTTGTAAAGGGTGGCAAGAAGATAAGGGGTTAAAGCCATAAGTTGGCCATCTTGCATACACAAGGCAAGGGGGAGGTACTCTTTCGTGATCTTGTACCCAGGGACACAAAAAAGAAACTCACAAAGCCAAAGTAAGTAAAAAGCAGTTCTTTCATTGTCATGGACAGTGGAACCAGGCTTGCCTTTGTATTTTTGGGCGAAATCTGTATAGCACATGTCAGTGTTTAAAGTAAAGCTCACTTTTGGAGGCTCAAGGAGAGCATGAATTGGATTGCCCATGATTGGGAGACCAGTTAAGTGAGCTACATCTAAGATGGTAGGGGAAATCATACCAAAATTGAGGAGTAGGGAGTTACAAGATTGCGACCAAAAGCATGCAGTAGCAGCAATCAGCCCTTTGTCCATGTCATAATTTTTAGTCGACAGTCTAATTGCTTCACTAATGCCCTGGTGCTTCCATATTTCACCGTCGTGACCTTCAATTCTCCTGGCCCAGCTTCGCCAAAGAGAGTCTGGTGACCTACACTATCTGAGTGGGTTTTTGCTGACATTCCAGTTAGTCCACTTAAGTCCAGGTTGGTTGAGAAGAAGGTTCTCACCATTACCAAGGGGATAGTATGGAGCTAGCTCGTCTGGGAAGTAAGACGCGAAGGTAGGGCCTAGAGTAGCCTTAGCGACAGAGCTTGTGCTGGGTAATAGGGTTGCACTAAATTTTAGAGGATCGATACGTGCTCTGATAGGGTCTGGGAAGCGGAGTAGGTCTTCATTGTTCTCCTCAGATGGTGATGGTTGAGATTTTTTCGGCGCCATGGCTTAAGGTTTTGTGGTGCTTGGGTTTTGAACGACAATGCTTTAGAAGAAGGAGTACAGTCTGGGGAGTTCGAATCAGAGGGAAATGAAGTGGTTTGAAGTTGAAAGGGTGGGTCTTTTATAGCTTATGATGGGGCCCGTACTAATAAATTTGCTATTGGGCCCAAACAATGGCCCCCTTGTTGAAGTTAAATATCATATGACTTGGACCCCCACAAGGGGGCACCTCCATGACCCTTCTCTCTCTGATTGGCCAGTTTTTTTTAATTTTTTTTTTCTTTCTCCTCTAATCACCAGCCCCCACGTGTGTGTGTGTGTGTGTGTGGGGAGGGGGGGTGCAGGTGGTGATTGGAGGGGGTCCCAATCACTTCCGCAAGGTTAATTCATATGATATTTAACTTGAACAAGGGGGCCATTCTTTGCACCAAGTTTTGCCAGTCTCTATCGACAGATGGTCCACTTAATCGAGGACACGTGGCCAAGTCTGAAGGAATGTCCACCACTTCAAAGTGGGCTCTTTGCATGTGGGTCACCTAGAAGTGATGGGGGAAGTTTTTAGCACCAGTCATGGAGTTAGTGGGCACACTTTCTGTAACGCCCTGAAAAAAAACAACATTAAACCCATCAGATAAGACATGCATTTACATATAAACTAACCACATTCCTTTATTCATTAGAGTTCCATTACATAAGTATTACATGTTAACATCAAAACAAAATGCCTTACAGGCTTACAGCTTTCCAAGTTAACACTTGGTTACAAACAAAGAGTACTAACTCGTTTACACATAAAGCCCTTGGCTTGAAGTTACATGTAATACATCAAAAGTAAAACGACAAAACATGTCCGCCTCTAGCCTCCCAAGCTATGTTCTTGGAGGTGGCATGCTTCCTGCACCTGAAAATGATATTCCCATATAGGGTGAGCCACAGCCCAGTAGAAATACACTAAACCAACCATGAACAATGCCTAAAATATTAGCAATTGATAGATGGCCAACACTGATACAATCACATAAATCATATATTTATGTCAAACGACTTACAAGTCCCAATTACTTTTCATTTCCTCTCTTTCAACAGATAGGCATATAAGCACTACCCACATGCTCAACAGATATGTATAACAACAATATCCACATTCTCAGATAAGCAAATAAGCTATATCCACATTCTATAACAGATATGTATAACAACAATATCCACAGATAAGCATAAAAGCTATATCCACACATCACAAAGATAAGCATATAAGCTCTATCTTCACTTCTTTAGACAAGCACATGAGCTGTATCTACGGAGTTCATCCCCTATCTTCTCCCAACACTAACCGGTTTAGAGGTACATCCCCTATCTTCCCCTAAACCGCGGAGTACATCCCCTATCTCCTCCTCTACACATAACGTATATAAACACATTGGTTCTATATACAATCACCCAATACATACAGTTAATGTATTCTATCAATCGTCAAGTTCCATGACACGTTTCATTGATTAGTTTCAGTTTGCCTAATCATCATGCATTGTCTACAACAATCACGACTATCCTCCACCGATAGCCCAAAGTAGTTATTTCTAAACAGAAAATAAATGCACAAATGGATATTCAATCAACATTTCATTTCTTCATTCTTCTCAATTAATTATCTCAATTAATTAAACAATGTAATTAGGTCAATTCCCATAATTAACATTTCAACCCTTAGGTCCCATTTTCATCAATGATTTAACATTCATTCAATTTCTCTATGCCAAGCATGCATCCAGGTTTATTATGAATAAAACCCCAACTTTTGTAAAATTACACAAAAGCCCCAAACTTTCACAAAATTACCAAACCAAGCCCAACATCTCAAAATACCAAAATTTAAAGACAAAACCCATAGATGTCGGGCGGCCCCACCATCTTTGACGGCCATTTGAAGAATGGAAGGTGTTGGACTTTGGTCATTATTGCAGGGATCGGTTCTGACAACTCTGTGTACTTCTTGTTGGCACGTCTCGAACGCCTACTATCGACTTGCAGTTGTTCATTTGTCCGGTGGGAGCACTGATCGCTTGATCGACGAGTATCCCGCCTTTTATCTCGTTTAGCGCGTTGCTGAGGCTCTGGGCTAGGAGGTGGCGCGGAACTTATTGGTTGAGCAATTTCAAGGGGAGCCGTTTTGTTGGGCATTTGGCCGGCTTTTATTCTCAAGGCATCGTCTTCCACCTTGCAATACTCTTCAACTTTCTTCATCAACACCCAGACTGTTTTGGGGGGTCTTCTGGTCAGGGAACTGCGAAGGGGACTGTCAGGATGTAGTCCCATTTTGAAGGCGGTGATGGACATGGAGTCGTTGCAAGCGTCGTCGACAAGGTTGAAACACTCCCAATAGCGTGCTGAATACGCTCTGAGCGTTTCTCCTGACTGAATTTGCATAGCCCAGAGAGAGTCGGCCTGTTTCGGCTGCACCTTGTTAGTGATGAACTTGGCCCTGAAGGATTTCTGTAATTGATGGAAGCTTTTGATCGAGGCCGGCTCCAACTGGTAATACCACCTGACAGCTAATGGCCCCAGGCTGCTAGGGAATATTCGGCACATGAGGGCTTTGTTGTCTGCATGCAATGACATGGCCTACTTGTAGTGACGGATATGATCAGTGGGGTCTGATTTTCCGTCGTAAAGAGTGAATGACGGAGCTTTGAACTTCTTAGGCAGAGTCGCCCTTGCAATCCGTCGGACAAAAGGATCGTGCTGGTCCTCTTCGTCTGAGCTGCTCCTCCTACGCTTGTTCCTTGTATGCAGACTCTTTTCGGAGGAGCTGGAAGTTTCGGATGATCCCTTCTTGTTGAACTCCGTGGTTAATGAGTTGGAGTCGCTATCGGTATCCTTTGGTCGGGCTCGAGGTCGTTGGCCACCGGCCCTCGGAGGTCGTTCGGGATCTTGGCGCATGGCTTCTCTCGATTTTGCGACTTCGAGGGCCAAATCTTGACGGAGACGTTCATTTTCAGTGATCATGTTCTCCAATCTTTGTTCATTCTGCTTTGCTTGTTCGATGATCGCTTGCATTGTCTCTTGCGCTAAGGTCATTGGTGAGTCGAAGTTCAAGGCGCGTCTTGCAGCGATGGTATCTTTTCCGAGCATATTTGTTGGAGTGAGGTTATCTCCCTGTGTGGTCTCGTCAATGGCTACCGGAGGATCTTCAGTCACGCCTGCCATGGATGTATTTGAGTATTCCCACAGACGGCGCCAATTGTGGAGAAGTGGTTTGGAAATACTCTTTGGATCCTGGTATACGCTAGCGATCCTCAGCTAGTCACCTGAAAAGATACAAGCACTCCGGTCGGGGGTGCCAGAATTAGCACTCCGACGGACAAGTTAGTTCAGACACTCAGGATAGCTTACTTTCTAAGTCTTTGTGAAGTGATTCTTACATACCTTTCTGTAACCGTTGTTCCTGTATTTATACCTGTTCTTCTTGATCCTCGAGGCCAGGGCCTACTTTTTAATCATTGTCCTTTCCTTTATTCGGCCTTAAGTACTTATACTTTATTCGGCACATATATTCTATTCGACTCCCCGCTGTCGTAGGATATAGCCGATTAATATCAGTCTTCCAAAGATACATACCATCTGATCTTTCCATTATTCGGCCCCCACAAGCATCATCTCTAGCCTCGTTATACCTTATCCTTGCAAGAGCCCGATCATAGTGCCTAACAAATTCATATAGCTTTAATTTGTGTTGGAGGAAGGGATTGAAATAAGCATTCATACACTCCGAGTGCTGAGTGCTCTTCATCCCAGCAAAGAAATGTCCACGCATATATGCCTCAGCCCACATATGACGATTCTCATATGTCTCCAACACCCAACTGTTGGTTTGAAGTCCAAATTTTTCGACCATTGTCGTCCAGCCATGCTCAAACTTTGTCTCATCCGTTTCCATGTCCATGCACTGCTTGAAAGCATATGCAAAGCCACTTATGTGAACATTTGAAACAACATTTTTCCCAAGATGCCAATTACATAATCGATGTCATGCGTCTGGAAATACTCTTCTGATTGCCTCTCGCATCGCCTTATCCCCATCTGTCAGTACGGACACAGGTGCTTTATTGCCCATCGCCTCCATAAATGTTTCCAAAACCCATGTGTATGTCTCAATTGTCTCATTAGCTAGCAAAACACATGCAAATATCGTGGTCCTAAAGTGGCTAGTCATACCAGCGAACATGACAAAAGGCTTCTTGTATGCACTGGTTCTGTAAGTTGAGTCAAATATCAACACATCACCAAACTTTGCGTAGTCGGCCCGCGATTTCGAATCTGCCCAGAACAGATTTTGTAACTTGTTATCGTTACACACATCATACTTGTAAAAAAAAAACGTGCATCAACATCAAGTTTTGCACATAGGTAAACCAACGCACCCTGCGCATCACCATCCTCAACTTCTGCTCTACGTTCGGCTTGAATATGGTTGTGCAGATCCGTACGGACGAAACCAACATTCTCATAAGACCCGGATTGATTTATCATATAATCCATGATTTGGCTAGTCTTCACACCGATGTTGCGCATAGCCATTGCTTGAGCTTTGTCAGCGCTGTTTAAACTGCGATGTGACCTCAGATACATCACACAGTGTTGTTCCGCCAATTCATGGTTGTGGTCTGCGACGAAGTGAGTCACAACATACTTTCCCCCTTCACCAGCATCTGCATCGTACCGTATGCGAAATTGGGCTTTGCAACCTACTCTTGTTAGTGCCTTGGGAGCTCTACTCTTCTCAGCAACACGGTCCAAGTATATTAGTAATCTCTGACCTTCCCTTGAACACAACCACAACCTACTAACGACCTTTCCCTCTTTATTTGTGTTAAATATGGATTTCCGTATACTAAATCCCTTGGCTTTAGCATACGCATTGTAGAAAGCTTCTCCATCTTTGATCGAATCAAATTTCTGTTCCAGAATAGCACGTTCAACATCACCAACCATGACATTGCCATGAGCATCGTCAACCATTTCTTTTTTCACATCGGCTCCGCCATCTTCAACGTTCATGTTGGTTGTTTTTTCATTGCTCGGACCAGCTTCGCAACCATGATAAGGTTCCACCCGACTTTCATTCATCAAACGAATGTCATCTGCTTCATTTGGAATGTCATAATCATCACCTTCCTTTTTAACTTCCGCTCGGGCCATACTGCACATGACATTAGTACAAACAATTACTTGATAACCGAAAAATGTTGACACAAACACAAACATGACATTTTCACACGGTTTAGTTGTTTCTGCAAACACAAACACTCGCTTGAGAAAGAGAAAGGTTAGTTGCCAATAGAGGGGTTTCCGTTTGACCGAAGCGTAGAGCGGTTGAAGTTAGGATGGGGGTTTAGTTGATGAAAAATAGCTGAAGTGAAGAGGCCAGAGAGACAGAGAGGGAGACAGCTCCATAACTCATATCTAGTTGGAGAGAAGGGTTCACTTCAGCAATGGAACCAACACAAGCTTGTAGTTATGTTATTGTTGGAAATCGCCCGTTATACTGTTCCCTACAGAGCTTCGTCAATGGAACGAACCCAACAGGGGCTTCTCCCTGTTAATGGAAATCAACGGTTACACTGACTCAACCTTACACAGAGAGGAGAATAGAGAGAGCTAGAGACGAAATACAGAGAGTGAGTGGGATGCAATCATGCAAATACAAGCATTAACCGGTTGCCCCGGTTTCAACTTTTTCACAATTAAACAATTCAATGGTCTTGATCAATTATTGTAATCTAACGGCTAACAATTGGGTTGCATATGGTGTGCAACCTTAAGGGGGTTGCACACTTAAACAAAACCCTAAATTTAAACACAAACTAGTGCATTGGTTACAGCTTACAATTATCATGCTTTTATTTATAACAATAATAAAATAAAATAAAAACATTTTGAGTTTGATATATAAACCAACATTGCTTTCAAGATAAATTCTTTTCATTCTCTCAGTGGCTCAATACGGTTGCATAAAAAAATTATTATTTTCTATTTTCTATTGTATACACATATTACTCACAATAACAAAAGTGATAAATCAAATGATGGCCAAAATTATGATAAGAACTTAATGATGTAAAAGTAAGTCTATTACATTAATTCTTTGATAAATTTTAACATATAATTACTTATGATTCGTATAAAAGATTTTGATAATGTAAAGTAACAATGAAGTTGAATACACTCATAACAATGGGTCTATAAATATAAAGAAATTACTTATGCAATTTCTATATGGATCGAAACATTAAGGTAAAATTCACTTTCTTACAAAGTTCACACATTTTCTACATGAACCATAAATGATTCTTATGAACAATATTATCTTTCTCATTATGTAGGATATTCACTGCATAGAAAATTAGTCCCAAAAACTCTATTCAATTTTTTTTTTCTTTTTCCGTATTTTGGTGACATTATGTATGTAAGAACATATTTATTGTATTTTTAAATTTGGGTGAATTACACTAATAATTCTTGTAGTTTGCAACATGTGTCATTTTGATTCTTGACTTTTCAATTGTGATATATTTGATCATGAATTTTGAATCTTATTCCAAATAAGGACAATCAAAGATGTTTCCTATGCAAATAATTCTTTTCAAGGATAAAGTCATCATACAACTTATTTTGTGTTGGTTAACTTGTATGTTATTTAAAATGTAATGGCCTTATTTTTAATGAATAATGCTTGCACTTTCTTGGTTATAAAATTATGTTTGGTTTGGTTTTCAAATTTATTTTTAGAAATTTTTTCTGAGAAACTAAAAATTAAATTAATTAAAAAAATTTAAAACAAATCATTTTATATAATTTTATCTTTTGGGAGGGTAGAAATATTTTTCAAAATTAAATAGTTTTTATATTTATTTTCGTTAAATTAGTTTCTATTTTTTCAAAAGTCAAACATGGCGTCAACGTCCTTTCTAAAAAAAATAATAAGATAAAATGAAATGGCGACAACGTTGATGTCCTTATTAAACCAATCTATTAAATCAAAAAATTTAAATTAAAAAAATTTCATATATTAAACATATCGATTACACATTAAAACCTAATAACCATCCATTACATGATAACCATCCAAAAATATCAATTAATAACAAAAACTACCATCTATTACATGATAACTATCTAAAAAATCAATAAAAACAACCACACATTACTTGATCATCATCCAAACACATATTTAAAAATTAATTTCATAAAAAAATAAAAATATAAAAGTGTAAAAGATTTATCTTTTTTATATAATTTTATCTTTGGTAGGTTTAATTTTTAAAAATTTAAAAATAAATTTTTAACATTTTTTTTTATCAAAATAGTTTATATTTTGTTAAATTGATGACTTTGTCATTGAAATGGAACATTTTTTGTTTGTAAAGTAAACGGTGTCTTCAATTGTCCTTATTTGGAACGAGATTCAAAATTCAAGGTTAATATTACAATTGAAAGGTTAAGGACTGAAACGACACAAGCCCTAAATTACAGGACAGTTAGTATAATTTGCCCTTTAAAATTTATATATGCTATATTTTGCTCACGATTTTGCTAAATTATCTATACAATATACTTACAAAGGTGTCCATTGTTTAGTATGCTCATGCTATTTTAAAGTTTGTTCTCTATATTACACGGACAACTACAAATAACAAAGATTTTTAAAAACAAATTATATTACATTAGATTAGATTAGATGAAATGAAGAAAACCCTTTCTTAAAATCAAAAAAAAAAAAGAGATGAAAATCATGTGCAGCACACATGCACCCCACTAGTCTATCAAAAAGTGATAAAAAATAGAAAAATAAAAAAGACTAAAAGATGTGTGTCAATAGTTTGTTAATTTAGAGACGGAGTGAAATGCAACGAATGTGCTAAAATATTCAAGCAAGCTCAAATTCGATGTATCAATTATTTTTTATTCATTTATTTACACCAACCACCACTCTGCCTCCCTCCAAGTTCACTAGTACACCTTTAGCTTGCCCTTTAACCATTCCATTGTGAAGGAAAATGTGAACTTTACTGGATAAAACTTTTAGCAGCTGATATTAATTGCTGCTTAACTTGTCCACTGTTGATGCTCATTGCTCTTATTAGTTGTTAGACTTCGCAGGTGAGTTGCACAAGTTGGTTTGGTTTATTTCTTTATTCATTTTTTTATTAGCAAATGAAGAAATATTTTATTAGAAAATAAAACAAAACAGATACATCAAGAAAATCTGAAAACACAAAAATTTATCGTTGTCTAAACATTACATTCTAACTAGGTTGGCACCCAATGCAAGACCAATCATGTGCAAACCTAGTGGGGAGAAACAAAGAAAACAGAGGAGTTAGAGAGGTTCCAACTCCACCCCACAATAGGAAGAAAGCAAAAAATACAACCAGGGGAATCACCTGCAATTCCCAAACCAAAATCTAATCTGTTTAAGGTGGAACATAAAATCATTCACCAAAAATAAAGAGCCAGGTGAGTGAGCTTTAAACCAAAGCGTGATTCGGACTCTTGTAATCTCGCATCTTTCCTTCAAACTTGGTCATGGACCATTGAAAAGACACTCATTTCTATGCTTCCAAAGTGAACACAAAACTACAAAGGGAATCATTAATATGAAATTCCAGTTTTTAAACTTGAAACAAAACCACCATTGAAGCAAGTCATTGACTAAACCTGGAGAGACCTTTCCATTTAACAATATCGGACCAGATCCTCCAAACAAATGAGCACAACAATAACACATGATCCACGGTTTCATCATCAAATTTACAAAGCACGCAGGTGGTGGAAACATTTTGACTCAATACTCCAATTCTTGGCAAGAATACAGAGGTCTTCACCCTCTCTCTCCATGCTAACCAGGAGAAGAATTGAACTTCTGGGGGAGAGGGCATTCTTCCAAATCAACTTTGGAACCCAAAGTTTCATTTCAAAACTTGACTCAGCTAGCCCTTTGTTATTTTAAAAAAAAAAAATCCAGTGTAAATTTAAGGGGAAATTGCTCTTAAATGGAATGAACAACACAAATATTATAAAATCAGTGGCATGTTTCCTCATATTGTAGACCATGTGATGTGTTTTCTCATAAATGAGTTCTTATGTTGATCTTATGAGTTTTTATGAGTGTTTTTGTTGGTTGTTGGATGCTCTCCAACTTTGTGTTGTGCTAGCATATGATTGGGCCAGTTTGGCGGTGCCAACATAGTTGGGATTGCCCTACTTTGTTATGATACTTGTGGGAGCCGAATAATGGCAAAATCAGAAGGTGCGTACCTTAGAAGACTGATACTAATCGGCGGTATCCTACGAGAATGGGAAGCCGAATATAATACATGTGCCGAATAAGTGTAGATCCTTAGAACTGAATAAGAGAAAGGACAATGATTAAAAAGTAGGCCCTGGCCCCGAGGATCAAAAGGAACATGTATAAATACAGGAACAATGGATTGAGAAAGGTATGTAACAATCACTTTTTGTTTAACTTAGAAGACAAGCTATTTTGAGTGAAGAACTGACTTGTCCGTTGGAGTGCTAATTCCGGCACCCCCAACCGGAGTGTTTATGTCTTTTCAGGTGACTAGCTGAGGATCACTAGCGTCTCCCAGGATCTGAAGAGTATTTCCAAAACCACTTCTCCACAATTGGCGCCGTCTGTGGGAATACTCAAATACATCCATGGCAGGCGTGACTGAAGATCCGCCGATAGCCACTGACGAGACCGCACAGGGAGATGACCTCACTCCAGCAAATATGCTCGGAAAGGAAACCATCGCTGCAAGACGCGCCTTGAACTTCGATTCGCCAACGACTTTAGCGCAAGAGACAATGCAAGCGATCATGGAACAAGCAAAGCAGAATGAACAAAGGCTGGAGAACATGATCGCTGAAAATGAACGTCTCCGTCAAGATTTGGCCTTGGAAGTAGCTATGGAAAGAGAAAATAATTGAAGGTATGAATGGTTGCACTAGGGCATGGGTTGCAAATTAGTTGGTAAGAGTTTGGTTAATACTTGATAAAATTAGCTAGAATATGGTGGTCATGATGTTCATAAGAAGTTACTGAAGATGAGACCGGTTGTGATTGAGCGGTAAAGAAGTTGTGCACGAGAGGAATGTGATTTATCAACAGCGAGGGGCTATGCAAGGTTCAGAGG